CTGGATTCATGATTGAACTATTTTTGATAATTGTATATAATCTTGTAATTTTCTACAGAACTTTGCATTTTAGGATTGCAAAAACGATTGAATATGATGGTTTTGGTGATAAATTCGTTTGTAATTATGTGTCTTCGACCTCGACTCCCCGATAATTTTATTGAAAATGAAAAAGGAAGAAAACAAAGATACACATCAGCATGTGTAAAATAATATTCTGAAAATGACCACCTTATCGTTTGTTTTATTTGGACAAAAAAAAGTGATTGCAAGTTTATTTTTATTTTTTATATCTACTATCTAGAAAAAAACATTAACAATTTGATTTTTTTTTCTAAAGCTGAAAGAATAAGATAAAAAAATTAAAGCTGAAGAAAGATAATTTTTTCTTCACGTCCATTTTCTATGAAAAGTAATTTGGTTCTTGTTCGGTCGCAGTACCGAGGATAATTTTCAACATACTCATCATGTTTCGATGCGATCCGGAGATGAGAATTGGTATTTAACGTAAGAGCTTAAAGCGACTAAACTGCAACATTCCAACTATGCTATGAATTTTCTACCGATGCATTCGAACTTTGTCTCAATTTTACTTTCAATCTTCTTTAAAGATCTATCTGCTTTCTCCATCGTAGTTTGTTTTATTGTAGCAATCAAAGAAGATGTTATTCATTTTTCTCCATGTATTTTCGAATGTTAGTTTAATGAAATTAAGAGTAAAAAAAAGTATGTGTTGTTGTATGAGTAAATAAAAAAAAATATATATTTGTGATAATTGGAGAAAACTATATAAGCTTCATGTTTTAAAACTAACATTGTGTTTTTGCAGGAAAAAAAAAAAAACTAACATTGTGTTCATGTTTAGGATTAGGATTCAAGTTTGGCCGACATGATATCATCGGATTTAGGTTTTTAAGTGTTAGAATTTTGTTTTAGATTACAAACTAAAAGGTTTCGTATTTTTCGGTCAACATACAGTATGCTGCGGAATTGAATTGGAGTGGTTATATAACAATAACAATATTATTAACACAAACCACTAAATTATTTTGATTAGGGTTTCAATTTAGTTTTTTTTTAAACTATCTTATTATATAAATGAGGATATGCACGATGACGACACGTAAGCAAAATTGTAACGTACCACATCGTGACATGTGTCAAGTATTATCGACGAGAAGAGTAT